GAAAAACTGGCTGTGACTGCTGGAGCAGTGGGAAAGGGGAGAGATGCAAATTAGACTAATAGCTAAATCTATAGTGGGACAGAAAACGAGATGGGCACCTTTGAAAACACAGTCCTCGTGTTCCCTTCTTGTCCTGCCAGTCACTGAAGGTTTTATTGCAGATTGTGCTGTTCCCCAGTCCTCCAGAGCACTCCTCCTTTGCACAGCAGCTTCCTCTGCCCTGGCACCTGTGGGCACTGGAATATTTAGCTGAGGAGGAAAAGTCAGAAGTGACTTTTGGTGATGCTCCTCAGCTTATGTCTCTTAAGTTGGTAGAGGAATTATTCAGAATGCACTCACTGCAGATTTTTGATGGTAGGTGATCACCTGAGCCCCTGGAGAGCTTTTGATCCCAGTACAATTAATGTTTGAGGAGGAGAAGGAAGAGGAACTCTAGATCTGTCTCCAGAAAATCCATTCTAATTGATACAACACCCTCAATCTCCTTTCTCTCATTTCAGCTTCAGTTCACCTTTAGAAGTCTAAATTTTCCATGGGGGACTCAGAGTGCTTTGAGGAGATTTAAATTTTCACAATGAGCAGCTTCCTGAGAGATGAGGTTCTGAGGACTTGCAAACCAAGCAAGGAGTGGAAACTCATCTGTCCCTGACATTCTACAGGAATATTTTCATCATTAGCTCCTGTGGAAGGGCAGGTAACATTCCTGCCACACACCTGGTGAAAGAGATGCATTTCCCTGTTATTATTATTATTCCTGTATTTATTTATAGAAAATACTAAAGCTCCTGGGGTTGGGGAGGTGAATCCTACAGCCCAGAGAAGTTATCAAGCACCTGATGGTTGTGAGATTTAGGGCACCTGCCACCCTGATGTTGTATTTTGGCTGGAATTATTGGCCTCTGCTCTGTGAAGTGGCTCTTTTAATGGGTTGAATATTCATGTAATCAGCTGAGATGTTTACCTGAGGCACTTGTTTACTTTGAGGTCTAGGGTCTCTAGAATCAGGTGTTGTGTAGCCAAGCATTGCATTTCACATTGTTGTAGACAATTCCCAAGACTTCAAACAACTAATTGAAATGACAGAAGCAGAAGGAAAAAAATAAAATAATCTATTAAATGCCCCCTATCATACCTTCCTGTCACTGCAGGAATATTCTGCAGTTTTCTAAAATGCCACTTGAAAACAATGGGCTCCTTTAGCAGGGAAGCAAAGATGCCATTGTGGAATGACTTTTGTTTGTTGGGAAAGCCTGCTTGGTGAAGATGAGGGGGAGGAGAGGAGAGAGCTCCCTCCAACCCTCACAGCTCCACCAGATGCAATATTATCCCAGTAATGATTGTTGTGCCTAATAGTCATGGACAGCAACTTTATTCACCCCAGAAAGAGCACAAAGGAGAGCAGTCTCCAGGACAGGAGGCTTCCTCTGCTAAATTTGCCACGGATGGTTGGGCTCAGTTTGCCTGCACCTCTGACTGATGCATCATGCTGGATGCTCTAGGCAAACACACACTAATTAGCAGAGCAAATAGAAAACCTCGAGGATGCCCATGCTTAATGACACTGCCCATGCTCTAAACCGTCTCTACAACAAATTACTCATTTGATGGCTGTAGGCAGTGCAGGTTAATTTGTATCACTTGCTAACTTGAAGCGTTTGCTTTTAGCAGGACGCTGTGTTATGCCTTTCTAGGAAACTTTGCAATGCTTTGGAACAACAACAACAAAAATACCAGAAGCAACAGAGAAGGTCATTTCAGGAATTAAAAAGTAAGAGACATAAATCTACTGGAAGCTAAGAGTCAATAGATGCTGATGAATTAGTTACCATAAAAAACCCCAAAAGAAACCTGGAAAGGACTAAAACCACTTTGAGGAGTATTGAGTTAGAACACAACACTGGCTCAAAACAAAGGTGGATTGTGCAGAAGCCTGTGCAGTTCCTGTCAGGAATGCTTTAGTCAGGTAATTGCTTTTCAATCAATCTCAGCAAAAGAAATGAGAAGTCAAATATGGAGAATTAATCAAACTCACAGGCATCTTTGACTGAGGAACCTGCATAAAGCAAAGCTTGTTCTCACAAATGAATGAGGTGAAGATCATGGTCAAATGAGACCCAAGAGTTTATGACATTGCTGAACTGTAGTCACTTAATTACCCACATGAACATGGGTCTTTGGAAGCATGAAACTAAATATTCTGCACAACTGTGCCAACTCAAGGCTTCAGTAGCAAAAGCAGGCTGAATAATGCTGCCTTAAAGATGATGGATCGATTTACCCTCATACTGGCAGGTTGGGTGGGAGGCAAACAGTGAAAGGAGAGGGCTGGGTGGAAGCAGAGGACTGATGAATTACACTGGGAAGTCAGGATTGCTCATTCTCCTTCCTCCAGCAGGATGAGAGGAACAGAAAAAGCATCTTGTGCTGCAAAGGCCTCTTATCCTTCCCTAATCAAACTCTTTTCTCAGCACTGGAAGTGTCTGCAGTCAGCCCCAGCCGCTGTAGCAGGTGTCTGTCTCACAAATAGGATTTCACCACTCATTTTGGTACCAAAGCTTGACTGCCACCTCTTCACAGACGTGGAGAGACATCGCCAGTAGCTCTGTGTTTGCAGCAAAAGCTGAAATCTCACCCAACCCATCCCATCTCTGTTAACACAATCTGTAGTGAATGGAGAGTTTGAAGCTGGGACAGTTTGTGTTCTTTAGAAACACGTAACAGAGGCTGAAATATAAACAAGCTCACAGCAGCAAAGCCCTTGGCAAGCAAAGGTCCTGCATCCTCACAGACACCTTAAATAAACACCTTTATGTGACACACAGTGTGAGGTTCTTGCTTCAATCAACTTCCAAAGCTTGGAACTCAAAAATTTGCAAATCTGGTGCTGGGAAATGCCTTAGTGGGGTCCAGGAGGACTTGAGGCTGCTTGCTGTTTCCCACACTTCTTGGAAGCTGTGCCTAAATGCAGTTGTATCCATCCATCTGCTACAGCCCTATCCTGGAGAAAGGGGTTGGAAAGGGATTTGTGCCCTCTTGTGCATCCTGAAAGTATCCAGGTCCTGCTTGAACACCTTCCCTGCTTTCTCCTCCTCTTCCAAAACAGCGGAGGGAGGGAGAGAGGGAGAAGAAGAGCATTTTAGGACCAAACCCCTGGAGTTAGGAACCCCATGGGTGTAGGCTCACTTTCCTTTTTCCACCGTTGTAATCTTTGGCGGATTTCTGTAAATCACCGAGCGCCTCCGAGCCTCAGCGTGCCTCGCATGAAGGCGAAATAATGATGCCCGCTTTGCCCTGCTCGTGTTTTTGGCCCCGTGTCCCCCCTGCATCCCTCGGTGGTACCCGGGATGCTGCGGCCGCTGCTCCTCGCTCGCACGGGCGGGGCCGGCTGGCTCCCTCCGCGCTGCTCATTGCTGATGTTTATCGTGTCTGCTGCTTCCGAGAGACACGGGAGGGCTGTCGGGGAATTCTGTGTGCCTCCTTATCCCTACAGTAACTATAGGCTTGGGCAGGAATGCGGGTGATTGATTTCAGGGCTGGTGTCTGGGGGGCAGCAGCGTCCCCTGCTCCGCTCTGTCACCAAACCCTGCCAGTTCAGCCCGCCTAAATAAACACTGCCGAGCCGCTAATCACACGCTCTGAGAGAAAACAGCACTCGGGGATCTGGGCAAGATCACACTTCCCTCCTGGTGCCTTGGGCTCGCAGGATCCGGCTGCAATATCCCTCGGATTTGGAGGCTTTCTCCAAGGTTTCGTCGGGAAAA